ATCCGACTGATTCGATTTCCACTTATGTCTGAAAAGAAGTTTGTTGAAATTGTTCTTCCAAGTAAAGTTCTAAATATAGATGAAATAACAGAGGTGCTTCAAATTTTTAATGGTATAACTGTTGCTGCCACCGTATTTAATAACAAAAGACGAATCTTGCTTGAATCTTTCCTTGAACCGTTGCTATGACTAGATTTAGCAAGGTGATGGTTGCATGGGACTACAGCGGAACACCAAATGCTAATTTGGTTGGTGTGCGATTATTTGGCAGCGAAGGCTCCAACTACGAAGTGGGATTGAAAATAAACGACAATTATGAATGCCTTGCCGAGTTATCATCCTCGTTCATGAGTGAACAGATACTAGATGGTTTGTACCATGGATTCACGGTTACCCTTGATAAACCTGTGCGTCTGGTCTCTGGTCAGGTGTATAGATTGGAAGCTAGAATTAGTGGACCAAAATCATATCTTGGAGGCGATTGTGCAGAGATTGTACAGGCTGGAGATATTGTAGTAACTTTCTCAACTGCTTCTCTGCCTAACAACTCCACTAGTGTTAACGCAGGTCAGTTTCCTTCGCTTATTTTACAACATCTGTGATTGGAAAGATACTTTGTATTATCGGACTGTTTGAGAAGCAGATCAAATAGTCAAAAACGAACAATTTTCTCTCATTTTTTGTTACAAAGAATAGAATGTAGTTATTACACTTAGCTCTCAGTCTTGAGCGCTGGCTCATATATCATCGCCAAGATAGCTAATGTAGCGTGAATTCGGGCTGCATTGTAGCTAGCATAATATTGAGATGAAACTTGCGGCGCGAGATAACTGCTGCTGTTCATGATATGCACGGTTAAAAGTATTTTTAGCATTTGATCGTTATATATTGGATTGCAAGTGCATGACATTGGAAAAATTCGCGCTCCTCGAAGGTTGTAAATATAATGGAAATATGATGTAAATTTAATTTCCATTATATTTACAAAGGTTGTAAATATCGTGTAAATGTCCAAAATGATGTAAATATCATGTGACTTTGGATTTACGCGATATCTAAATCGTTTGTTTTTCATCATATTTCCATTAGAATTATATTCGTTTGTCAAAACGATGTAAATTTCATTGTAAATCGAATTTAAACCATGTTTACACCAAATTTACATCGTTTTTATACATCGTTTTTTCATCAAATTTATAGCGCGATTTTTTCCAGTGTGAGCGTCAAAGATCTCATTAGTTGGCTAGCTTTAAGCACGTGAATAAAAAATTAGGATTTTGAACAGAATATTAATTAATTAATTAATAAACTAGTTAAAGTAACGCATTCTTGTTTTCACTATATATTAGAAGTAATATAGACAGAATATTACATGCTCGCTTGAAGATGCGAATTGTATCTTATCGTGTTAAAAATCTTTCAATTGTTCGCGTATAGATGCTTACGACGTAAGCCGGAAGTGAATTGAAAACAATAGAAAACAAAGGAATGGAAACGAGGCTTAAGGTGGTGTTTAGGATGGCAAATATCAAGGGATTTCATTCACCTGAATTCAAGAAAAATTGCTTGTCTGTAGGAATAGGACATTTTCTTGCTTCTTGTGATATTCAAAAAGAAATATTTTTCAATCCCTAAGTGACCTAAGTTACTCCCGGTTTATGCCCGACTTCACGCTCTAAGAGCGTCTGGTTATTTCTATTTTCGAAGTTGTCGTTTATCAAATATTTTTGTTTAGTGCAAGACTGGTTGTTGAGAAATAAAAAGATAATAATATAAATTAAAAGTGGTGTAAGTTCCGGCTTTACAAGGTGAACCAGCTTGGGATCCCTGTGGTCGAGTTGGTAAAGCATCATGAGGAACTATACGCGACGTTGCCAGATTCATATATAGAAGAAAAGGTAGAACTAAARCCGGTCTAGCCATTGGCTAGCAAGACTAATAACCGTCTTMATTTTCAGATGATATTAATTTAGAACATCATCTGTTTAGATAGAAGTGGACCTTGTATAATGCAGCATAATTCCATTAAATAAATGATAGTTTAATTACCTTGTCCAGGCCGATCGAAGGCCTGCGGCACGGCTACAAAATGCAGCGACTTTATCATTTTTTCCACGTCGAAATCCCAAGGGACCCACAATCCAGAGTTCCAAGGTTCGATCCTCGACTGGAGCACGTCTGAAATTTTTTTTCTTTTTTCTTTCTTTCTTTCTTTTTTTAAACTAAAATATAGTTCAGCGTTCTAGTCATGTTAAATTACATAAGACATAAACAGAAAGAAAGACTTTATATAGAAATGAAAAATTCCAAAATTTTGTTTTAAATCATTTCAATCCCGTGAACGAGTTACAGCCTTTTAAAAGTTCTAGAATTTCCAAAGAAATATACACGAAGCCGCAACTATATCCGTATTTTATGGCCATTTTCCGGACACATTCTTAAGATATCATTCAATTCTTTTGAAATTTTAGGGTATTTGAAAAACTGCAACCCGTTCACTATTGAACTGATTTGAGGATTTTGCATGTCTTTTTTCTCTGTGAGTATTCTCATCATTATCGATCAATCAGTTGTGACTATTAATTATTGACCGTCAAGGATTAAACTCGGTTGATAAAACAACTGTCAAACTTTTTCTTGTCAGTATTAATATATGCCTTTTTGAATTAGTCAGTGTACTTTTGACATAATCATATATTCGAAAAAAATGTCGTATTAATAAAAAAAGCTGAGCCGAAACAGGGAAATAAAGAAATGAAATGTTTTTATTTCTTATAACTGTTTCTGTCTCTGTTTTTTTTTATCAGCGCAGTTCACACTTCACATATTTTCTTGTCTGATTATTTTGTACATGTAGTGTGAATCGGGACGTACACTTTATCAAGAATTTCCGTTGTTCACACAAGATAAAATTACTTTTAGAATTGGGCTGCCTCTATCAAAATAATGAGCAGTCGAGGAACGCCTGACAGAAACCGCACTTCCAAGAATTGATCGGAGTTATAACTGTTATAAACGAGTTGTTTGCTGTAATTAGCCTTCTTTTTGCTATTTCTTCGCTTAATCGTTAGTCGCCTTTTACTATCATCCTAAAACTATTCAAAACTATTGAAGAATCAAAATATGGAGACTTCAAACTGGCAAACACAATTTTCTACTCTCAGAGAACGTAGTAAGTACGCGTTCGCCAATTCATTGTTCTGTGATGTCGAGTTCTCGGTTGCAGACGGCGATGGAAACAAAGTCACCGTTCCATCCAACAAGTACGTGCTGGCTACCACCAGTCCTGTCTTTGCTGCCATGTTTTACGGTCATCTAGCCGAGAATAAACCAACTATCGACCTACCAGACTGCACTAAGGAAGGACTACAAGAAAT